AGTCCATAACATAAATAACTTTTAAAGTTGGACAAATTTTGAACTTAAATTAAAGAAAAATTAACTCTTGCTAACGTTTAGTTAATATTTAGAATGTTAAGTTATAGCTAGGTACCTTTTTGTGTATCATACTCTGCCTTTTCCACATTATCTATAAAAATCACAATAAATAATAAATTGTTATAATACTTACCTATAAAACCAATTTTATTGTATTGGTCAATGAATTTTAATTAAATCTTTTACTTACCTTTAGTATTTGAGRGTTTTACAAGAGCAACTATTTTCCTTGATCTAAACATAGGTATTATTATTACAATATAATAATAATAATAAAATTAATAGGATATAAAAATTTGAAACTTCTAGAAAAAACACACTCTAATCATGACTATATTAATGTATTAAACTATTATAAGCCATAATTTTATTAAATTATTGTCAATGATAACATTATCTATTATATTTTATTATTTTAATAACCAAACATATTTTAGCAGTGCCATGGTTGTAGATAATATTATCTTTAACCATGTCCAAAGGCAGTAATATTGGTATTATTATTTTAAACAGCTGACTTATCTTTAACAGTGATCAACATTATTCTGTGCATAAAGATTTAAGTCAAACTTAACTCCTCGTGCACCACAAAGAGTTCGGTGTCAAAAGATATATTATGTACCTATTCGTGACATAACTCTTGCAGCACATAAGAATGGAGTTAACACTAAACGCGCATTGAAATAATACATTTTAATAATACAAMTTGACATATCTTTTGGCACAATATACGTAGTTTTTTTTCTGCATTTTTTKATGTAAATAACTCATTTTGCACAAAATGTTGACTTAACCCCTTTTTCACGCGCAATTGCGAATTATTATACAAAGTTTTACAGATATCAAAAATMGGGCATCTTACAGAATCAGATATGAAAAAAATTTCTTTATTATTAAATAAACATAAAATAATTGGTGCAAAAATAAATTATGAAGATTAAATAAAAAGGTTTAATGAATAAAAAATTTCACACTCAGCATATCGCGTACGTTGAATAATGAGCGTAAGCAAAACAATATCAGTAATTCGGTACGAACTACCATAGAAGTATACAACGGCTGAACAGTGTCAAAAAGTCAGTGATGCATAGTTATAAACAATAATTTCTTATAAAGCCATATTTTCCCTATGCGTGGCGACACTGATTTGAGGTAGGTTTTGATTTTTTGCATTTATGAGAATTACATGGGCTGAATAGGGAGTGCACCTTCTGGTTTTATATAATCTGTGCTATGGCTATATCAATGAAATACAGGGAAATGTGCCGGAATGTGGARGAGAGAAAGACTAATTTTTATTATTGCCTCTCATTCTGGCAGAGGTCTTATCATCAATTATGTACAAAAATKATACTAATATACATTTGTATTAAGACCTTTATACTTTCATGTTCGTTCTCGTATAATAAGCATAAATGGCCTATYCATTCTTTAATATCTCTGACTGTACCTTGACACCGCGTTTATTTTATTGTCTGTCACGGCTAAGGATATCTATAGCCGTGTTGTCAGGTAGTTGGTACTGTGGTAAATAATTATGAAAATTAATCATCACTATCACTGGTATCAGCAGTATCAGCTCARCGTTCGAAATTTGAGTAACAGTCTGCTACAGTGTGACTGTTGACTGCTTGGATTGCTGCTTTAGAATTCTGAATCACTTGAAAATTCACTGCTGCTGCTATTTCACGGTAAATTAACTATAAAACTTATAATTGTTTGTGTCGATGTTATACGATACAGCAGCCTAATAGTGACTTTCTTCTCAATATTTCTCAAATCCAATCCTTCTATTCGTAATTGTACGTCGCCTGGCGTCTATCGGCGGCAGTAAACAATTGATGTTAGTATTTAATTTATTATGATCATTATAAAAATGTATGATTGTATTTATATTTTTTGGTAGAGTTTCTCAAAAAACCATTGTTGACCATGAGTGAACTGCACTCTGAACATTTTAATCTTTGTAGAATTTGTCTTACGAAGCCAGAGACAAATAAGCATCTCAAATTCTTCAACATATTTATGACAGTTAATGAAGGAAAAACTTTAAAGGAAGATATGAAGGACCTATTGGATCTCAATGTATATATTTAGATGTGATAAAAAATTTATAAAAATATTGCAATTAAATTGATACTTTGAATTTTCCTTAGGTTGAATCCAATGATCAAAAACCGCAAATTGTATGCGAAYTTTGCTACATATCCATGTTTAAATATAGTGAAATGAAGAAGAAAGCTGCTGAATCTGAAATTGTTGTTGATTATCTTGCTAAAAAAAAAGTAAGTGAGATATTATGTACCCATATATATTTATATTTTTATAAGTATGTACCTAGTTTATCTTTAAAATGTATATTTATTTGTAAAATGCTTTAACATAATATGGTTATGTTTCTATAAATTAATCTGGTAGGTAGGTAAGCATGTATATACGTTAGTAATGAATCGAGAATGTTTCATCTCCATCAAAACATGAGTTAACAGGAGTATCATCCTTTGTATATTTTGGTTATAAGACTTTATTAAAAGCTTTGATACTAAAAAATCAATCAAATTATAAATGTACCGAAAAAATTATTTTTATAGAAAATAATTTACAATTATAATGTACAGTATTTAAATTAGTTATGATGATGACATTTTAAAATATTTTATATAAATATAGATAATTAATTTTTTTGATATTTTGTTTTTATTTACCTATACATAATTGTGATGTATTTAAATCTTGACTTATTGTAATAATAGTGTTTGATTATAAATTTTTATTTGTATTAHTGTCATTGAAATATTAAATTGTTTATTAACAATTTATGTTTTTTGACATAAGTTCATTTTTAAAACATTTATTTTTTATTTTTATTAATTTAAATTGTTCATTAAAAATAAATTTATTACCTAACTGTTTATTATTCAATCATCATAATATATATAAGTACAAGAAAAAATAACAAAAGAATATTTATACCCTATCAAAAGCTATGTTTTGTGCCAAAGGGTGTAATTTTTAAACATTTTTTTAATAATAATGATGTAAGTACAGAATAAAAATAAGAATAACTTAAACTTAATGGTTGTATGATTGAAATTGGACATACAAACAAAATGTTTAAACAGAGAAAATAAAAGTTATCTAAATTAGTTATACATAATTTGGTGCCTTTATTATTTAACTATTAACCATTATCATCCAAATGTATTTTTCAAAATCAATCATATATTGACCAACAGTTTATGTTAAACATGTTTTATTTTAGTTATACTGTTGAGTTAATTTTCATATATATTATAATGATGGTTGGTAATTATGTTTTTGACAAAACTCTTTGGTATCATAACTTGTATCGCTAGCTTTATAAAATAAAAAAATTTGAGTGCAATGACAATAGTATCATTGTATACAAAAAATAAGTAATTGTATAAAGTRTTCACTGTMGAAACCAAGATTGCGTAGAGACTGCAGTTGTTGATGGTGAGGTTAGGTTATTGTCGTGGTCAACTGTATCTTCTTGGTTATTGAAAATTGGTTGGGGCTGATGTAGGTGGTGCAGAGTATTTATTGTCTTATAGATTGTATTTAATAAACAATGCACTTTAAACGCTTCTATATTACTGACATCAGATTGTATACAGTTGGGACTCTTGTGTAATTTTAGTTTATCACCTATTTAGTTAGATTATTTATATATAATATAATATATCATATATTATTATTCGAAATGTTTTGTATTCTTGAAATAATGAATCAAATTCAATAAAAGCCCAGCCTTTTAGTTCGTAAAGCGTGTACTCTAGGGTTAATAATTGTTGGAGACGAAACATTCTTATATTCATTTTTGATAAGAACAAAACGCCCGTTTTCTGTAAGTAATAATTATCTTAGTGAAATTTTAATTAAATAAATTGAGTTATTGAGGCTGACGTTACATTTGCATGTGTTCTGTTTTAGAAATATGTAACATCAAATATATTCTTGGCGGTTCTATTTTTTGTTTGTCAGCTAATTGTTTTAATATTTAAGTGAATGTACCTATAAAAGTATTGTTTTTTGTAGTATGATAGAAGCATTTTTGGATTTTTAAATTTGAAGCAAATTAGACGTGTATAAAAACTTAAAAATTTAAGATTATGTCATCATTCATCACTTATTTGCTTAATCATTCCCTTTTAATCCATCTGAGTAATATTTAAACTACAAAGTAGAACTATATTACATAGGGTAAAACACAATAATACTTGCAATATGAATATTTAATAATAGTCTTATCTGGATTTTCTTGCTTTTAAAGGAAAAAGTTCACGACTGCTTATGTTGTCRATTTGTTTTCTATTTCTYCTTTTTAAAAACTCTTTTCCTAATAATGTTAGTGAAAAATCTATTTTCAAATTTTAAATGTACAAAATTGTTTTATAATTTTAATCAGTCTAGTACCTAACTTTCATCCCTTGATCAGTAACTGATGTATAAATATTATTTTCATTCCTGAGCATATTTTTGAAGTATTGGTATTTAAATATGTTTGTTAATTACGAATACCTAAATAATTGTATGTTCAAAAATCTAATGACTACAAAATAAAGTTATTYAAGTATTATTATTTTTTTTTATTGAAAACTTATTATTTTATCAAACCTATGTTATAAATTTATAAATTTATATATTTTATAACCTGAAAAACGTACATGTGTACGATTACAAAAATTAAAAAGAAACAGGAAATAATAATATAGATATAACAAAATGTAGATAAAACGTAAGAGTWTTGTTCTCAAAGGTATTTTGAATATTTTTTTAAATCATTAATTATATATTTAAATAGTTTTTAATAATGTCTTTTWGAATAACATTTTAATCCCTCTAATTTTATTCACTAAATCCTTATTAATTTAATGAAGATACTCCTTTCAATTAATTGCAACAATTGCAGATTAGTTTCTTGTATTGTATGTATACATCTTGTCAAAGTAATCTTTTTTCAGCTAATTTATTTAATTATCAAGTTATTACATTTCTCAAATACATGCAGCTGCTTATAAGACTCATGAATATTAGGTTAGGTTGCTTAACTCAAAATTGCCTGGAACTAGCTATATATGACCATATATTCATACTACTGAGGTATAATTAATAGTCTAACCTTCTAATTTTGGTTTTCTTTATTTACATGCAGTAGTTTTTTCTGTTATTATTATCATTGTTTTACATAAATTGTTGGTTTTAATCTTTTATTTTTATATAGAGTTATGATCCTACATGCCATGGAAAAAATGTATGCTCTAATTCAGATACACTAAAAGTTATTATTTCTAATACAAGTSAAACAAGACAAATTGAAAGGTACATATAATTAAATATTAATCATGTGAATTCTTGAAAATTGAAATCTTTATTTCAAAAATTTTTATTGAATTTTTTCAGGAARCGTATACGAAATAAATTATATTTAGAAAGTTCAGATGACAATATTTTGGATGGAAGAATTGATACAAGTGAACCTCGCTATTGTTATTGCGATCAAGTCGCTTTTGGTACAATGATTGCATGTGATAATAAAAAAGTATGTAGTATAGTAAATAAGAAAAAAACAATTAGTATCTACTTTAAATCATTAATCTCATAGTTACTTATTTGTTAATATATAAATATACTTTTATTCTATAGTATAATTAATCAATAATCAATTTTTTCTGTTGTAGTGTATAACAGAATGGTTTCATTATTGCTGTGTCGGTATTGAGAAAACACCACGAGGAAAATGGTACTGTCTTAAGTGTAGAAACACAGTAAAGAAACTTAAAATGTCGAAAAAAAAGTMATCTAAGACTTAAAGATTAGAGTAGAGATGTGTGAAAATTATTCAATGAAAAAGTCAACGATTTGCATTGAAATTATCATAATTACATGTTTTTATAATATTTATGTATTACTAGCTGATACACCTGCACTCCATTGCCCGTTAAAAATACCAACTCTATATAATTCAAAATTGGTATTTATTTCGTCTTTTATTAATACCTATAGCTAGTGATGTTAAAAACTTAATAAAAATATAATCATATGATATAAGAATATTATATGATCATATATTTCAATATTTAAACCACGGCTATAGGATCTATGTTTAGAATCTAATGTATGTACTACTTCTACTACACTCTTGAGCACTATAGGCCATGATGACCCTTGGCTTCCAAAACAATTCTTCTCCATCCATCCCGGTTTAGTTTCATTTCTCCAATTCTGTTTAAACAGCTATTACATATAACTTCATCCAGCCATCTACTTCTTGGTTGTCCTTGTCATGAACCTAATATATACCTATAACCTAACCTAACATTTAGATACAGAATAACACCTTGCTATCAATATTAATTTGAAGTTGAAATGTTCTCCATTTATAAAATGATAATAAGCACTCATAGTTTTCTATTGTTTAATATATTTTAYTTATATGTTTATCCATCCTAATTCATGAATTGTACAAAAACCATCCACTCATCACCAGTGGTGCCGAAGTGTTTAAAGTATACTATGACATCAAATATAAAGAGGCCCATCACCCATATTTTATAATTTAACCATCAGATGCAAATCAAAGCATCTACAAATAAKTAATATAACATTTAATCGTATAATTTTAAGCTTATGTATATATTCTGGATGCAGTACATGGCAATATTTTATGGTGGGCCCCTCATCTAAAATATCTACCATGCCATTATGTCATACATAAATTGGGTGATTGATGCTATTGCTTATCGCTATGAGTCAAATTCAAAGAAAGTTTGGTCAACAACTGATGTGCTTTTGTTCCGTATCCTGTATATTTTAATTTATGTTCGCAATGCATTTATAAAATAGGTGTATATTCTTTCTCTTATATTATTTAATTTAAATGTAAAACTATTCTAGTTATAAAAGCTAAAATAATAAGGTATGCCAAATTTAATAATTATGATAAGCATATGTTGCGTCCATCATAATGCATAGAGAGAATATGTCACTATATAGAGCATAATGAGAATCATTCACAAAGAAGCCTTTAAATAGGAACTATAATTTATACACATACCTATAAACTTATGGAGTGCATATCCCTTACTACTCGTCTATGATAAATTAAACAATTTGTTACAAATGGTAATTCAATGATATTTAATTATTAATATTTTTTTTAGGTATACATTAGAAATATTTTTGAAAAAACTATTGGATTTCCTAATTATTTTGTTACTATGTTATTTCTCAGCTTAATATTTTTTCAGTTATCTTTTTCAAAAATGTTTACTAGTTTAATACTATACTTATAGTTTTATAAGTCCTCTCTTTTGTTTTTCATATTACCTATGAGCATATTATGCTATTTTATTTTTATTTTTTTTTAGATCTTCCAAGGCATTACTAGACACAGATTGGTAACTATTTATTTAAATTCTACCTTACATCATACATTTTATAGCATTTATCATTGAGTTATTTTCACTTTTTTGTTTATWCTGAGTTGAAGTGTTTTTGTTGGGATATCATTAGTTTTTTTTATAAATTTTCATATTTAATATGCTGTATTACTACGTCTGSGTTAATATTGTTACCCTGTGCGCTCAACGATGAGTTAAAATACATTTATTTTACATGTAGTTGACTCAGTGTTATTGTTAGTTTTTTTGAACTACAATATTGAAAGCTAAATAATTTTGGATTAAAAATATATATTAAAATAATTATTCAATGACGACGGACGGATAAAATGGCCGGTCTTTAATGTTTCTGATAAGTCTATGTGGAGATGAATTATGAAGTGTTGTGTGTGTCTAACATTAGGGAAAGCAAGAGTAGTTGGAGAAGTACCATCGCAAAAATCCTCGTTTCCATGACGCGAATATACGGTCATACAGAGGCAAAAGTAGTATAAATGACCACWAAAATATCCACTATTTTTTGCTCATAACTGAAATGTTATTTTAACAATTCCATCGACAATTAACTTTAAAAACATGTAGCCTGTGATTTTCTCGATCGATCGATACCTCATTCTAACGATTAGCTCCATTTAATTGACCT